CATTTAGCTTTTCTAAATAGTTCCTAACCTGTTCTTTACCCACCAAGGGCTGTCCATCTTCATCCCATCTTGCATCACTTAGCGCATTAGTCCGGGAGCCCACCCTGTCCGTGAATACAGAGGCAAAAGAAAGCGTTGAGTACTTCAGCTTTCCCCACATCATCTGTCACTAGGTTACCTCCTTCATCCATTAGGGGCCGCACACCCTCTCTGATCACCTTCTTCTTGTTAACATGCCTGTAGAAACCTTTCTTGTTATCCTTCACATCCTTAGCCAGTCGCAATTCCATTTGCGCTTTCGCCTTCCTGATAACCCCCCCACCTCCGGCATTCTCGAGCTATACATTTAAACCCCTCCCTGATAATTTGTCCAAGTTTCCATTTTTTGTAATCTTCCTTTTTTTGCTTAAGTTCACCAAGGATTTCCCCTGTAAGCCAATCCGGTCTTCTACCATGTTTGCCTCTCTTGCTACGCATTGGGATGGTTTCTTGCTGTGCCTTCAATAAGGCTTCTTTAAAATACTGCCAGCTGTCCTGGACTCCTTTCCCCTTCATGTTAGCATCCCAGGGGATTCTGCCCATCAGGTCTCCAAGGGAGTCAAAATCTGCTTTTTTGAAGTCCAAGGTGTATATTTTACTACTCTCTTTTCTTCCTTTGGTCAGGATCCTGAAATCTACCAGCTCATGATCACTGCTTCCCAGGTTGTCACCCACCTCTACTTCCCCTATTAGTTCCTCCCTGTTTGTGAGCAGAAGGTTAAGCTGCGCACGGTACCTGGTCGAATCCTTCAGCACTTGTGTCAAGAAGTTATCCCCAACATTCTCCAAAAACTTCCTGGATTGCCTGTGTACTGCCGTATTGGTTTCCCAACAGATGTCAGGGTGATTAAAGTCCCCCACAAGAACTAGTGCCTGCGATCTCGAAGGTGTGTAGAGGACAAAGAGTTGAGCTCTTAGAAAGTGTAAGATAGGAAAATACCTACAGCTACCAGATTTCTTGTGACATGCTGTGGGTCTTAGAGAAAGCTGCCTCTCTCTCTCTCTCTCTCTTTCTCTCTCTCTCTCTCCAGAATGGATGATGAGAACTGCAGTGGAGCACATGGAGTAGTAGAAATGGCAGCCCTCTCAAACATCAGGATAAAAAGAATTTTTGGATTGTAAATGAACAGGTCAAGCATAGGAGAGTGAGAACCAGTAGTCATGTGCTAATACCTGAAGAGGGACAAGATATCTGACAACATACAACACAAAGGGTGAGGGATTTCATTTCATGGAAAGCATTTTTTAAAAGTAATTATTTTAAAATAATTTAATTTACCTATTGCCCACATCACTGTGTCAAAATCATCCATTTCTTCTTTGCCAGAGTCAGCATATTTCCAAGTAACTTGCAGTTTTCCACTCTCCAGCTTTTCAACTTTACTTGGTGTGCATTTCTTTAAAAATCTTGTACCACAGGATTCCATATAATTCGTTACTAAAAAGGACATTTGCTGTGAAGTAAAAAAACTTAAATATTTTATTTAACAACAATGGTCAAGTCTTTTAAAAAATCCACAACTCATCTGTGTACCTAGTAAATACATCTATCACGTCAAACATACTTTGTTATTTCTATGCAACCTTGTCTATCTATACACAGAAAAAAGTTTTTCCTGTGGGATGACAGATTGACATCATCACATCACTCTGGCATCCAGTAGGACCCTGGCATGGACTTTCCCCCTTCCTTTGCAGGAAACCATTGCTGGCACGTTAATCTTGCTGGGTACGGGGTGTATTGAGGCTGGAGCGTTGGGCAGGTGACAGCTCAAGCGCTCTGGACCCTGTCCCAAGGCAGCTGGAAGTGGTGGTTCCCGCTGGGTCCCACAGTGTTGGGGCCCTGAGTGCAGTGAGGAGCTGCTGTCCTTGCGCCTATTGCCCATGGCCAGGCCTTGGCCCTCCGCTGGTGGCTGGAGGGGGTGTGAAAGGCCAGGGCTGGCTGCAACCATGGAGGGGAGTCAAGGAGGCCAGGGCTAGATGGGATCAGGAAGGAAGGTGAGGGGCCAAGAGGCTGAGGGAGGGAGGTCGGGCCTGGATGAAGCTGGAGAGGAATGCAAGGGGCCAAGAGCCATGGGCTGCAACTGGGGAGAAGGGTGGGGGGCTGAGGGACTGGAGCTGTGATCGGCGAGGTGGGTGACAGGGTGGGGCTAGCTGCAACCAGGGAGAGGGGTGAGGGGTCCAGAAGGCTGGGGCTGGCTGCGTGTGTGGTGGGGGCAGGGTTGTCATAGCCCCAGGTGTCTGGGGGAAGGGGAAGAGCCTGGAACAGCCCCAACTCTCTGCTCCTTGGCAGTCAGGTCTGGCATGACCCTGGCCCCCTCCTCCCTGGCAGCTGGTGGGGGGGTTGGGGGAGGTGAGAGGCTAGGTCTGGTGTGGCCCTGGCCCACCCTGGTGGCCAGGGGGAGAGCAGGGCTTCCTTTCCCCCCAAGGGCTGGCATGATCTTGGCAGCCAGAGAGACGGGTGGGCCCAGCACTCCCCAGTGGCCAGGATGGGGGGCCTGAGAGGCCAGGGCTGCCTACCCCCACAGATAGGAGGGTTGGCAAGCATACTGAGCAGGGAGCATTGCCCCTCCTAGTAGTTTCCTTAAAAAAAACACACAAAAAAACCCTTGATAATTTTAATGTAAACAGCTGTCTCCTAAAGATCTTCTTTGTTTTGACTAGCATTGGCTTAGATAATATACCACCACTAGTCTCATTCAAACTGCATGGGAAATAAAGAGTAAAATATCAGTGTGTAAAAATACAAATAAGGTGGTGGGGTTTTTTTTGGTTTGGTTTGGTTTGGTTTTTTTTGCATTAACAGAAAACCTAATATTTACACCTTGAGATTTCTCATTCTGTGCCAGGAAAATCCAGTGAGCTTGACAGAACTTAGGGATTTCTCACATGACAGACAAACTTAGGTCCTGACCAACTACAGAGACTACCAGTAATTTTCAGAATCAGTATATTTACATCCATAGTAAATCATGTCTTACAAAAGAGGGCGCCTCTGACTATTATTTCTCTTTAACAAACCAGCTTTTAGATAGCATTGCTTCTGCAGGTGACCAACTTCGTCCTATGCTCACCACTCCCCGCAGGTCAAGCAGTGAACAAAAAACAAATGTCTCAAACTCGAGACCCACAGATGTGTGAATGAACTGAATTATGTTGCTGCTTACGTTCAAATATAGACCAAGTGTATACAATTGCCCTGATGCCTTATTTACAACCAACTGTTCAAAATAATCAGACTGGGATTTTAAAACTGTTCAGTGTGATATAGACAGCTGACATGATCTACTGGATTGAGCACAGGTCAAAGAATCAACAAGTCCTAAATTGTCAACCTTATTCTGCTGACAGACCTATTGCATGCCCTTGCACCAGTCACATATTCTCTTCTTATAAATGGAATAAAAAGCTAAGTTATACTTAACTACCTCCCAGAGCACTGAGTGGATTCAAGTTTGTAGATCTTTTTTAAAAATGTAAAGCAAGGACTGCTAGGTTGGCTTTTTTCCAAATAATTTCATACATATCCAAAGGTTATAAAAGATCAGCTAATTCAACTTACATTATCAGAATTTCAATTTTTCTGGTAATCTGAAAATGGAAACCTTTACATAACCCAACTAGCACAGAGCTTCCTTCTGGTACTATATCTATCACACATATCTGCAATAAATGTGAATCAATCAGGTATCCTAAAAAAGCTTTAGTATAAAAGAAAAATGGTGGTTTTTTAGTAGACAATTTTGATTAATATGTTTGAGTTAATGTCACACCACTGTTGAGACGTGAAATGTCCCACTGACAGGTTTATTAAAAAATGTCATTATTGCTCTTGACTACAGTGAGCCAGGTTGTACGTTATCATATGATGAGGTGTTTATAATCTATATAAATGGATATTATCACAAAACCACTGACACAGAAAAAGTGCTGGTTCTTGGCTTATACATCACATTTTCAAACTAAAAGTTGTGGCTGGCAAAACAGTAAAGCACAGGCCTATGATATTTCTCTTCTGAAACCTGATATATCAATATTACCTCATCCATCTCAACCTTGTTACAATCTCCAGACTTCTTTTGCCTCCAACCCTCTTTGCACTTAAACTATTATCTCATGTATTGCTTCTATCCATATAAGACAATATTTCCCAGGGAAAGGTTATTCTGTAAGTGTTTTGGAAGGGCCCACACATTTATGGAACTCTACTGTAACACGGGGTGGGACTCACTGCTGTGGCGCCTCCAGCTGGTCATTCTGGGAATTAGCTCTGCTCAATGCTGGAGCATCCACTTCCAGCTGATGTCTCACCTGCTGTTCCCTGTTTTCTGTTAATGGCTCTGTTATCTTATATTAGGACCTGCGTTCCTCCTAGACCATGGCACCTTCCCTCCGGGAACTCCATCCCACACTTTGGCAACCCCCAATCCATTATACTAACCTGGCCTCAGTGACCCTACTGCCAGTCATTGTCTAAGCCCATTACTTCAGGGACAAACTGCAGTCTGACAATGGTTACTAACCATAGGCAAGGAGGTAAGGACCTGATGCCTCTTCCTGCCATGGCTGCCTCCCTATAACTCAGGTTTCTGTTCCTGGACCTCAGCCTGGTACTACTCAGGCTGGAGCTCCCCGGCTCACCCTGCCTTTCCCCAGAACTGCTTTGTCCATTGTACCTCAGCTAGTAGGCAGCTGGATCCTGTTCCCTCCAGGACTGGAATGAGAGTTTCTCCAGCCTAGCCAGCCACCGTTTTTATATAGCCCTCCTGGGCTCTGATTGGCTCCCACAAGGTCTCTCATGATTGGCCCCTAGCTACAGCCCTCTCCCTGGGCTGCTTTAACGCTTTTTATGACAAGAGCAGAGTGTCTACTTCACAACATCAATAAATAACCTAAGATCTTATGGATTTATGATGTAGACTTCATAGCAAGATGAGGAGGAATCCCAGGATATTAGCCAGGTTAAACTATGTCTTGTGCCTTGTTTCAAATTCGTGAGATATTAGCCATATTTTATCATTTGCCCCATCCCATTTATGCAGAAGTATGGAAAATACTATTTTAAAAAAGTTTACACTTATAAAACAAACCATAATCATCTACCACTTACAATTATTTTAAAAATCCAATTAAATACAGTGGGAATGACTTCTATATCTAATGTTGCATACTGGTTACTATTCTAAGCCTCTGTTTTCAGAATACTATCTTTCCAAAAGCTTCACCCTTCAAGCTGAAAATGTCTAGGCTTGTTATCTGTCTATGAGAGAACTATTTGGAAAGAATAAGCAAGAATGATTCAGACAGTACAAGAGTGGAAACTAGGCTAATTTGGGAGAGAAAGCTTTTGACTCTTTAAACCAGTGGTTCTTAACCTTACCGCAGCTTGCACCCGTTTGGTTCTCAAAATATGTTCTTGCATCCTTTATTAAAAATCGTTGAAGTAGGTCAGTTTTAAACCTAAGATATATCATAAAAACCTGGTATGTCTTGAACCCCCAGAAAGGGCATCTTGCACCCCTAGGGGGTGCATGCACCCCAGGTAAAGAACCACTACTTTAAACCATGGGACAATGAGAGCAAATCAAATTGGCCACTTCCCTTTTTCTTGAATTAAGTGGAAGAAAAAAAACCACCTCCCCCCATACACCTCAAGAGATTTAAACTGTAACAATTGTTACCTGATCAAACCCTCGAAGTGGGATACTTCTCATCATAACTGTGGTATCCTGTCCAATGCCTGTGAGAAAACCAGCACACTCAAGGGAAACATCTTGTGAATCATCAAATTAAAGGAATATAGATATGTTTTCAGATAAAAAACAACCAAAACAAGGATATTGCCACAAAGAAACCTAGATTATTCTAATCAATAAAATATCCATACTAAGAACACTGCTACCATATAAAAAAAGAACAAAAGCAAACTAGTGTTCATATTAGAGAAAACTTCATAAATAAATGTTTGCAAGACCCCCAGAATACACCATCATCAGTTCTGAATTCTCGTGACTATGCTGCTCAAAATGCTATTAATATAGTTTAGCTACTGATGCAGGTAAACAGTCTAAGAGCATGGGAATTTAGAAAACTGAAACTTCACAGAAAAGAATATATTCCAATGGTAATCATAAATCATTATACATTTTACAAAGGATACAACTGGCTCCAACCACCAACCTGTTAAGGAAAAAATATAGTAACAGAATAAGCTTATGCTCATTTTCACATAGTTGGTACAAAGTTATTTTCTTGTGTGTAGTATGATTACAAGATTACAGGTTTGAGCTTCACATATGACATTATTAAATAGGAATAGTATGTGGTTTGCATATACATATATTTTCAGTGTATCTTTCTGTGAGTCCATTTGCTTAAGAGCTCCTCCTAAACTGTAAGAGCTAGGACCACCAAATTTGGTATGCAGATTCCTCTGACCCTAACTTAAACCAGGGTTGGGATTTGGTTATGCCTAGAAAATGGGAATGGGACTATTTTCCATAACATGGAATGGGAAGGGTCAGAGAGCAGAGGAATGTGAAAGGGAAGGGCAGAGACAGGAGGGATGTGATATTGAGAGAAGACATTAGGGGCAGCTGCAACACAAAAAAAGTGGCCAGCAGTGCTGGAACTCTGCTATCTTATCTGCCACCAAACCAAGTAAGAAGCTCGCCTCCCTCCCCCCAACCCAAACCTGGAACCTGCCCCCCCTGTGGAGAGCCTGCAAGACAAGGGATGGGACCTGCTATTGAAGAAGCAGCATCTGGAGCCTAACCCCCCCACCCCCCCGATAGCCTACAGGCTGGGGAGGGGCCATTAGACTGCCCCCAGAGACTGGTGCCTCTATAGATAATCTGTAGGCTATAAAGGGGCACCTGGAGATGGGAGCAACCCCTGGAGCCTGGCCTCTCCCCCAAACAGCCTAAAGAAAGGGGGGAACCTGCTGGAGGAGGAGTAGCCTCTAGAGCTTTGTCAGACAGGCTGCAGGCTGTAGAGGGGCCGCTGGAGGCCACGGGCAGCCCCTGGAGCCTCACCTCACCCCAAGACAGTCTGTTGGTGGTAAAGGGGCCATTACGTGGCCCCCATAGACCCTGTAGACCTTGGGGGGACCTGAATATTGGGACAGCCTGCTGAGCCTTGGCAACCCCCTGGAGCACCCTCCCAAAACAGGCTGCAGAATGAAGGGGCCTCTGGAGACTGGGGATAGACCCTGAAGCGCCGCACCCTTCAAACCAGCTACAGGTAGGGGTACAGAGGGACAGCTGGAGGCTGGGGCTAGCCCACAGCGTGCCACTCCCCCCAACAACACTGCCCTAAGCAAGGCAACACTGAGTACCTGCAGGCCAGGGGGAAGCAACAGCAGGCCAGGGGCTGCCCCCCAGACACGCTGCAAATGGAATTGGATTTTTTGATTTTTTAAAAATATCCTTAAAATAAATTTTTCAATTAAAAATAAGTTACAAACAAATCTTATCACAAACATTGTACACCTACACTTACAGTCATAAAAATGAATTAATGACTCTAGTTTATCCAGCCTAACAAACAACTCTTGCATCTGGGTCTGCCATTTCTGCTCCTCAGCAGATTAAGATGTGAGAGAGACACATACTGGATAGGATTGTTTTTGTTCTCTGCTTACGTGGTGGTAGCCCTGAGCCAAGCATGGAATAATTAGTTAAAATAGTATCTAAAGACAGAGAACATATAGGAAAGGATGGTGGCAGCATAGAAAGGAACAGTGGAGTAGACTGAAAAAAAAGGAAGCATAGATAGAGCTTGTGATATTCACCGACACTTTTGCTATAAAAAAAGTCCATGGTTTCTGGGTATATAAGAGACCCTATCTGGAAATATTTTGAAGAAATTCATTCCTGGGTAAATGTATCAAGTGTAAGCTGTGCAAGGAGATGATATAGGGCCCAGTTGCAAAAATGAAACATCATAAGAAAAGCTTTTTATTGGGAGAAAATGATGTGGATAGATGTCTGAAGAACAATGTGGATCATTCTTCAATATTCTATGGCTTTTAGCTTAAATGTGATTTAACAAGTAAATTCCCAAGCTGTTTGTTATGTTAGATGTTGCTAGAAAAAAAGTTTAGCTTAGCCAATCATTATGGCTTGTTTCATGAACTAGGTTTAGACTCCATCACCCAAATATACAGTAAAGAAAGATGCAGTAAGAGAAATCTAGAGTTGCCAGTTGCCATTGAATGTCATTTTCTTATTTTATATTATATAATACTGTACATGCTCCTTATATTGGACAATCATGGTCAATACTATAATGGTGATAACATAAATCTATTCCCTATTTTACTTCAGCATAACTTAGTTTCCCCCAAAGTACCCAATCCTATGCTTGTTTTCAATGAAGCTTATGCCAAAATTAAGTGCACTCTAAGCACAGTCAGTTTTGGAATCAGATCTGTATCAAAACGGCAGTGGGAGTGGGGAAGATGAGAGCTAGCCGTAGAAATTTTACGGACACCATACATTTAGTATTCTGAAGATGTTTCTGCTAGAGTTAATAAAATTTGAAATGAAAAAACAAAAAGTTTAAGGACAGCCCTTAGCCAGCAACTCAGAAAACTGCTGCAACTGCAAAATGTTAAACATTTATGCAATACTTATGATTTAGTTTAATAAAATACAAGTGCTATTGTATTTGTGTGTGTGATTTAGTTCTTACTATTCCCAATTTACTGCTGCTGCATCTGCAGCTTGACACAGGTAGCAGACTTTCGATAATCCGGAACCTATGGGACCTAGGTGGTGCCAGATTATCAAATATGCCGGACTATCAGGAGGTACTATAAGCTGGTTATATATATACTGTATATAAAGTGTTCCTAGCCCTTTTTATTGTTCATACTGTATACAGTATACTGTAACGTTTTAGTTTTTTTTAAGCCTTTTTTATCCTTTTTGCTCAGTTCAGCTGCTGCTGCTGTTACCTTGTTACTCATTTTTTGCAGAAGCTCACTCACTAGGCTCTTGCCATTTTGATGCCGGACTATCAGGAGTGCCGGACTATTGGATGCCGGACTATTGGAGTTTTACTGTACTATGTACTATTTCCTAAATTTTAAAAAAAAAAGTTATCTAAAAAAGTTACACAAAATGCACCTTCCTAAATGTGGTAAAATGCTGTACTGAAGTGCAAATTAACATGGTTTAGTGATCGGATTTGCATCATTGCTTGGAGGAATACGTGAAGTAGTATCAATGGGAAATTTGCTTTAAATCAATTTTTTAAAATGATTTAAATCACTTTAATTTTTTTAAATCAATCAATCTACTCTGTTAAAAACAGAGTTGTTTTCTTTTCTTTCTAGAAATATATATAAAAAGCTTTTCCTGCAGGATGAGTGTGACATCATTGTGTCACTCTGAGCCCCACAGCCACCCTCTCCTCAGCCATCCAGACTCCTCCCTTCCGCCCCCATGGTGGGGGCTGCGTGACTTCCCTGGTGCTGGGAGGAGGGGGGGAGGCAGCAGCCATACTGTTTAACCCATGCTCCTCTGGGGAGGAGTCAGGAGCAATGTCCCCCAATGGGGGGGGCGGGGGGAAAGAAGAGTTCTGGAAGCTGTGCACCTTCCTCCCTTGTGTGGGGAGAGGGTCCAGGAGCCACATCTCCCTCCCACATCGTGGGAGGGGAAGGAGGGCCGGGAGCCCATGAGGCCTCCCCCTTCATGGCTGGAGTGAGAGAGCTGGGTCTGCTTTGGCCTGGCACAGCCCCCCAGTGACCAGAGAGATGGGGGTCAGAGCCGGGCCCACTCTGGGCCCTCCTCAGTGGCCAGGGGTGGGGGAAGAGTCGGGGTGGCCTCAGACACTCCTGGACAGCAAGGTGGCACGGGTAGGGTTACCAGATGGTTTAACCAAAAATACCAAACATCTCCCCCCCCCCCCAAAAAAAAAAACTCTACCAGGGGAAAAATTCTGTTAAGGGGAAAAAAAGGGGGGGAGACCAAAGTTGTTGAGAAAAAAAAGGACCCCAAAAGTTATTGAGCAAAATGAATAAAACAGCATGGCCCCTTTAAGTGAGAGGGATTGAGCACTAAGACCCAGGAAAGGCATTGCTTCCCCTTGCTTCAGGTCTTTTGGCAGGCAGCCATTTTGTTTTCTTGATCAAGCCCCTACCCCAGGTAAGCAGAGGGTTCGAGGGCGGGGGGCCGAAGAGGGAGTGGGGGCTGGGCCCATTTGCCAAGCGTGTCTTAGGGTTGCCAGGTGTCTGGTATTTTCGCCTCCTGGCAGGGAAAAAAAACCTCAGAAAATCCCAGGCATTTCAGGTGTTCGGTATTTTCTGATATTTTTACTGGACAGGAGGCAAAAATACCAGACTGTCCAGGTCAATACCAGACACCTGGCAACCCTAGGCAGGGGACAGGGAAGAGCTTTGGCCCAAACCAACCCCCTGTAGGCTTCTCCCAGGTCAGCTGTGGCCTCGGCCCAATGCCCCAGTGGCCAGGGGGCGAGAGCCAGGCCAGCTTCAGCCAGGACCATTCCCCCAGCAGCTGAGGGGGTGGTGGTGAGAGCCATGGCAGGCCCTGGCTGCCATGTCTCCTAGGGTTCCCAGATGGTTTTAACAAAAAATACCAAACATCACCCTCCCCCTACAAAAAACAAAACACTGGGAAAAAATTCTGTTGAGGAAAAAAATGGGGGGGGGAGGGGACACCAAAGTTGTTAAATAAAAAAAAGGGGGGGGCACGCTCCCCACCCCCCCAACAGATGCAGCAGGGGAAAATTGTCCTTGACAGGCTTCCGTATGCAGGAAAAAGGAAATACTGGACATTTCATGTGTCCGGTATCTTCTGAGTTTTTTTTTTTTAACCAGACAGGGGACCTGAATACTGAACTTTCTGGACAAAAATTGGACACCTGGCAACCCTAATGACTTGACCTGGCCATCCCCAGTGGCTAGGGGGAGCCAGAGTTGCTATTCCTAGAGAGAGTGGTTTGTGAGTTGCTATCCTCAGAGAGAGCAGAGAACACCGTCTCCTAGTTATTTTGTAAAATAAAACATCTAAAACACATTCTGCAGAACAAAACAGATAAAAGCACACAAGTGAGAATAATAAAGGGTTAAAATGAATCATGACTAAACATTTATTGGGGGCCAGAGCGGGGTGAGAAGTCTCAGCCTCCTCCCCCAGGGCCTCAGCGTTCACAGA